TCTGTGCAGAGAAACACACTGTGCACTTAGCAGAAGTGGGAAATGGCAAAGGCAGCAATGAAAGGAAGGTTGTGCACACATGCACTTGAGAAGTGTGGCCTTGTCCAAGAAGTCTGAGCATCCCTTGAAGGAGACAAGTTAATGCTCATTTCAGAAGTGTTTTGGAAGCAGAGAGAACATCAGAGCAGATCCTGAATTACTGGTGAAGGTAAAACAGATAAGCTTAGCTAGTGACAGGCAAACTAAAGCACTTAGGCATAGAACCCACATGATGGATAAACTATAGGCATGAAATATGAAGCCGGATTTGGAGAAAGAAGGATGAAAAAAGCAAAGCTCTACACAACAGAAGACTCCATGCAGAGTCTACAATGGCCACAAATAACTGAAAAATAAAACAAAAAACAAAACACACACACACACACACACACACACACACCTCTTCAGCTCCTAGTTTGTTTTGACTTCTTGAACTGGAGACTCTAGACTGTACTTGGAAGAAACTGAAGATTGGATAGAGTGAGGAAGGGCTATATCAAATGTCTTTCCTCCTGTAGCCAGATGAATTGTATTTTAAGTTACTGAAAAAGGCACAGCTGGGGAAGGCAAGAGCAGAGGGTGGCAAGGATCTCCATTTCATTTCCTTTCTTTGCCTCTTGTGTACTGTACATAGCCACCCCGAAGTTTTGTGTCAGCCCTCCACTGCTGCCTGGAATCCCTGCTGCCAGGAGGTGGCTACTCAACTTCGGAGACTTGGTGGAGAGAGATGATATAGTTTGCAGAGAGATGATATTGTACTTTGTGATACCAGCAGCAGTACTTGCTCCCTTCCAGTGTGTTCCTTGCTCCCTAGGCCTCCTCGGCAGATTCTGTCTCATATACGCAATCATGCAGTGCATGCTTTCCTCTGCATACTTGTCACCTTGTCGTCACTGTCAGAAATGACAATCATTCAATGGATTTCAACAGATATTTGCTGAAGGTATACCGAGCACTTACAGCCACGAGGGGGCTGAGGATATCTGATAGGCACAGTCTCTGTCTCTGAGAAGCTTCTAGTCCACTTGGAGGAGACAGGTGAGATAACAATTACACTTAAATTAAGTGATAAAAAATAAATTATAAAAAGCACTTCAAAGGAAAATATTGGACTTACAAACTGAGAAAGGGTTTTTATATAATGCCTCCTTCGTCTATTTTTAAAGATTTATTTATTTATGCATACAGAACTGGGGTATAGGCCATAGGTGTACGGGCAGTGAAAGGATTCACAAGAGACAGAATAAGAGCAGAGAAGGATGATTGATGAAGTACATTGCTGAGTGGAGCATCGGGCAGATCAAGAGAGGTCTGCCATGTCTTGTGGGTCACCTCTGGGGTGAGGATCGAACTCATGTTGAAGTGTCTTTAGCTTCTTAGTGCTGTGTTTTAACACGTTGTGTCACCAGGGAGGCCCCTGTCTTTAAAATATA